CTCTGCTTGAACTTCCTGTATTAAAGGTTTGTCTGCCTCCTGAGGCCTATTCTTGTTTCTGTTCTTTGTAACATGTGATTATGGAGTATTCAATGCTTTTAACTTTTGCAGGACCTAGTTTCTCAGTCTAAATCGCTCAGTGTTCAACTTCAAGAGCCAAGGATCCTTGAAACATTGTTGCTTAACTGTGAGAGGTGGCAGTGTGATAATTATCACCTCTTGCAAGAAACTGAAGATTTGTTGGACAATACGAAACTAGGTGATGGCATGCATAACACGATCCTTTCGAAGATTATGGATCTGATAAACAGAGTGGACTCCGCTACAACATCTGGTCTATCCCTTGGTATAAATTTGGATGAACTTCCCAAACTTCAAACTGCAAGTTTAAAACTAAGATGGTGTAGTAAGACCATCTCGTTAAGCTCTAGCTCGCCTTCCTCTGAGGTAAAAATAGATTGCTGAATTATAATTGGTTTTGACACTTTTGTTCAAGATGTATGTGTATCTTTAAATGCATCTTTTTGATCGTTTAAGTGTATCTTTAAGTGGCAGTTGCTAGAAGATGTAGGAAAGCCCTCGTTACAGCAAATTCAGCAACATTTAAAAGAGGTATGTTCTGTTAATGTATCAACTTCTTACGCATACTGAGATGTAGTACTAGTGCCGAATTTATAAACTAAAAGGACAAGTGTAGAAACTCGACCAGCTGATTCACTTATTTCAATAAATATTTTGACACCACAGTGATGTGGTTGATGAGTTTCGGTTATTCGCGTCTTGACAGGGACAAACACTGAAAATATTACCTGAAGAGTATTACTTGGGCAAGAGACTTGTGGAGCTAAAAGACATTGGACTAGAGTGGGCAAAACGAGCTAGAAAAGTAAATGACCAATACATGCTTTCTCAGTCAATTGCTTACTACCACCTCTTTGGAATGAAGACAAGCGTTATTGGTTTTTATCTGCAGGTGGTGACAGACTCGGGTGCTCTTGCCTTGGAAGATGTTCTCGAGCTTATTTCTGAGGGTGAAAATTTGCCTGTCCATGCAGAGCAAGAGCTTCAGGTCGATAAACAAATGCAATTTTAATAGGATTAATACATAACCTTATATAACCTTACGGTTATCTAAAACTGTTTGTATCTGGTTTGATTGATGCAGTCCTTACGAGCTCGAAGTATGTTGCACTGCATTTGTCTAAAGCCATACAACTCAAGATTCATGGTTTCTTGTAGCCAGTGTGGCGAATGGTATCACACCTATTGTGTCAAACTTCATTGGCGGCCTGAGGTTTATGTCTGCTCCGCTTGCTGTCCAGTGGCGGAATCCACTCTACAGACTGATCCCCCAAGGTTTGTTCCATCCAAACACATTGCCACAAAACTTTTTTTATTCACATATGTTATATGTTTTTAGAGCATATAGCTTCATTCAGTAGTTCAATTCAACATCAAAAGTCTTTGCAAGCTATTCAATGGAAACATAAAAAGGAGAATGAGATACTTTACACAATCTCTATTTCCTTTTCCTCCCATTTCTCTAATTCAGTTTGTTTGATTGATTTATACTAACAGATCAATTGAGCCAGAGACACCATCACAGAACCGTAGACGGACAAGAACAGTGGCGACTGATGCAGCAGTGTATGATTTAAAGTGGAGAACCCGAAAACGCATCAAACGGATAGGTAAACGGAGTCCTCAGGTTCATATTCTTCCCTGGTTTTTCACTCAAGAACCATAATAAACTTTGAAGATTCTTGAAATTTAATTTATTCAATTTTAGATAGGTTTTATCAAGTCATTTTTTAATGTAATGTTTCCATTAGAAAATAGAGAACATAAATGCTTTTGGAATTAAAAATTTACCAGATTATTTATTGATCTATAACTTGACTTTAATGATTATGCGAAACACTGCATAATTCTTGTCACAACTATATATATAATGTATATAGGAGAGATTACCCTATCCCTCATTTCCATGTTTTAGTACATTTACCAATAATACAACATTTTTAGGTTTTGAAATCGAAGCTCTTGTTAGTTATCAGTTTATGGACTTTTATATTCTTTGAATTATTGTGTTGTTGTAACTCAAAATTTGTTGTAATTGGTTTTTACCATTCATTTGTAATTCTGTCAAATTTACATACCATTGGAATTTTAACAATTTTTTAATGCATAAAATGCAATTTACTTTTGTTAAATACTTCGAACTTTTTAAGATATTTAAAATCTACAAACTTGAACTAGCAGCTATTAGAATTTTGAAACTGTTGGACCAAAAATCAACGGACCACCACAATGTGTGAAGAGAATCATATCTCTATCCCCACAAATACATCAGAAGGAAAATAAAAAAGCAACAGTTGAGATCACTTTCCTTACAAGAATCAGAGGGAGACCCACTTTTGATGACATCATGTTTCATAGACCCACAATCATAATACATCATCTCTCTCTATATTTATTTTAATATATATATATATGTATGTATACATGTATAATGTGTATGTGTTGTGATTTGTGAAGTGTATTAACTAAGGCACTTTCATAGAAACAGAGCCTTATTGTACCTTTTCAGACACCATCCTCAATCTGAAAGCTTCCTTCAACACTCTTCTTCCATTTTAGAAAATCTACATTTATTGTGATTCACAACACTCTCCATATCTTATTTTGTACAATTTTTTGCTTTTATGTTAATTTGTGTATGTTTATGGCCATTTATGTGAGAAAAACAATTTTATAAAAATGTCAAGTTCAGTACTGGTCGGCCTCAAATTATTTATGCCATCTTTCATGAAAATTGCTAAGTGAAAAAAAAAGTCACATTAATTTAGGTGAAAGTTGGCAAAAAAAAAAGGTGAAAAAGGCAAAGTCAAATTTATTTTATTGTCAAAAGTCATATTATTATATAGGTGCTGGAGCTGTGAGTGTAGGATTGTTGACAAAAAACAAGTTATTTTTAGTGTAAAGATTAAGGACAGGTTATAATGAGGAAATTAATCACAAATTGGATTAGGCAAATAGCAAAACAAATCTATAAGACTTTTATTAATATGATTATAGCTAGCACAAAATTTTGACTAAATGGATTTTTTGGTCGGGTTCTTTTTACCACCGGATATTAAATGCATCGTACAAACTTTCAAATTAGGTAGAGATATGTTATAATAAAAATAATCACTTTCAAAACTTTTAAAAGAAAAAAAAAAAGAATTTAGATAAAAGAAAGTAGATTAAAAAAAAAAGGGGAATATAAAAATGGAAAGAAAATAAAGTTAGGAGAGAGGGCTCACTGTCCGAAGCAAAGAAAGAAATAGCAAAGTGATTAAGACATGTGAGAGAGAGATATCCCTCTTGGCTCTTTTCAAGTGGGTCCCATTCTCTCTTCCTCTCTTTAGTCAACAACACATCTCTCTCAATTAAACCCTCTTTCTTCTAATCAAGAACCAAACCAATATAAAATGTATTTTTTTCTTTCGTAAATCTTCTAATCTAGTTTAAATCTTGCAAATAAGAACATTAAAGTAAGTAGTTGAAATAGAATAAAAAATAATTGACGGTAAAATACTAAAAGTTAACTAAGAACTTTTTGTGAAACATATAATTTACAAAACAAAATTGTGCAACATGTAATATCTCTTTGAGACATTCAGGAGGTATTATTGGTTCTTGTATTTTAATGGATTTGAGAATCCAAACCAAATTCAGTGTTATTGGTTCTTGTATTTTAAAATTTATATTGAAATACAGTGTTATTGGTTCTATGATTTTAAAATCCATAATGAAATACAGTGTTATTGGTTCTGTCATTTTAGAATCTAAGTATTATAAGGATTTGAGTTTTAATTGAATTTGAATGGATTTGGAAGAATTTTCATGACTAAAATACAAAGACCCAAATACAAGATCTAATTTTGGTATTTGAGTGGATTTGTTTTTTTTTCCATTTTGCTGATTTTGAAATCAATAAATTTATCAAATCTAGAAGATTTATAAATCTATCAAAATACAAAAACCAATAACCCCTACTCAGATTACAAATAGATGAAATTGAATAAGAAATGTAATATAAATAAATAAAATTGTTATAATATTTTACTCTATAGGTTATAATTATCTAAAATGAGCATATACAGTAGTTTTCGTGAGAAGAAAAACTAAAAGAGCAAATGATATATACATGAAAATTGAAAAGCATTGAATATTAATGAATATTTTCAGTCAGTGATCTTGTGAGACATTTTTTTTTTTATTATTAATCATCAAAGAAAGTCCATTTGCTTTTTAATAAAAAAAATATTCCTAAGCAAACCAATTTAATATTCTAAAAAAATCCATTTTAATAGTAGTTTTTTTTTCCACAATATTATTAAAGGAGAAAATATATATAAGTAGAAAACAATGGTCGTCACTCTCCTCTCTCTTCTTCAGTCTTCTAACTTTCAGAGAAGGCCTGAAAATTCAAAAGTTTTCACTTCGCGATATCTTTTAAAAATTAAAATTAATAAATCTGTTGTCTCTCTCATTTTTTTTCTCTTCTCCCTGATTTGTCTCTTCTGTCATCTTCCCTTGTCTCTCCTCTGATGTGCATTGGCGTTTTTCATCTCAGAAACCCTAGATTTCAAAATCAAATCTAGCCTTTCTTTTTCTCTTTTTTGCAGATTTCTTTTCTCTCATAGACTGTAACAGTAGGAGAGAAAGCTACTTTCGCCTGTTGTCTTAATTTCTTCGCCCTTTCGTAATTTCAAATCTGCAATTTTACTTTTCTCGAGTTCTTAGTGAGCTCAAGATTTTGCTTCTCTCTTTCTAGGGTTCACATAAATCCGCCATTGTTGTTCTCTTTACTAACTTGGGCAATTAAGGTTTACGATTTCTGGGTGGTGGGTGAAACTGTTCTTCACGAAAAGTCTCCATTTTTCACCAATACCCAATCGAAATCTCTTCTCTTTCTCTCTGAAAGACTTGTAATTTAGGTTTTTAAATGCATGGATGGGAGAGAAGCAATGGCATTTCCAGGCTCGCATCCTCAGTACTATCTCCAAAGAGGAGCCTTCACAAATCTCTCACCTTCCCAGGTCGCGAGTGGGCTGCACGCGCCGCCGCCTCCTCCGGGAATGAGGCCAATGTCAAACCCTAACATCCATCATCCTCAGGCCAACAATCCAGGGCCTCCATTCTCCATAGCTGAGCACAGACTCTCGGATTTCGGACACAGCATTCACATGGGGATGGCTTCTTCTGCATCTGCTGCGGCGGTGCAGCCGCCTCATCCGCAGCCGCCGCCTCCGATGGAGCCACCGATGGTTAAGAAGAAACGTGGGCGGCCGAGAAAGTACGCTCCTGATGGACAAGTCTCCTTGGGGCTTTCTCCTATGCCTTCTTCTGCTAGTAATAAGTCTAAGGACTCCTCTGCATTGACTGATCCAAATGCACCTAAACGAGCCAGAGGTCGACCTCCTGGAACTGGAAGAAAGCAACGCTTGGCTAATCTCGGTGAGATCTCAAGTTTCTTTATGTTACATTGTGAAGAACATGAGCTTGGATCTGATGCTTATGTGAAAATTCTGAATGCTAGAAGCTCTATAGATGATTCTGTGGCCAAGTTATGCTAGGTTTTGTTGAGATTTAGCTCTGTTGTTACTGCTAATTGCATTCTAATGTATGTTTAGATTAGTAAGTCATTAGAATATGGTTAGTCAAAAGGAATCCTTGGTGAAGCTAATTTTTGTAAGGTCTCAAGATTGTTTATGTACATTGAGCATGGTCTTAGATCTTATGCTTAGGACATAGTTGAATGGTAAAAGCTATAGATGATACTGTGGTCAATCTAGGTTGTTGCTTTAGCTCTGTTGTTAGTTGTTAGTTACTGCTACTCAACTTTGACTGTTTGGTATTAAGCTGTGAAAGAGTAGCTTGACTGATCAATGTGTGGTATAATCTGTGCTTAGATAAGTAAGTGGTCATTAGAATGAAACTAGTCAGTATAAGTTTTTGATTGAGAGAAATCTTTTGACTCTGTTGATTACTTCAGGTGAGTGGATGAACACTTCAGCTGGACTTGCTTTTGCACCTCATGTCATCAGTGTTGGAGCCGGAGAAGTAAACTCTCGAAAACTTCTTCTTCAATCTTAATGATTCTGTTTATTGACAATCTGGAAATTGTTTTAAAAATTGCAGCTTTCATTGTTTCTATTTCCTTTTCATTTGATTCGCAGGATATTGTCTCGAAAGTTCTGTCATTTTCGCAGCAGAGACCTCGAGCTCTCTGTATAATGTCAGGCACAGGAACAGTTTCTTCAGTCACGCTGCGTCAACCCGCTACAACAGAGCCTTCTTTGACATTCGAGGTTTCAAAATCGTTCACTCTGTTCTTTAACCTGGAAAAGTAAAGATTCTTTATAATAAATAAACGTTTCTTGTTGTTTTGTAGGGACGTTTTGAGATTCTAAGTTTAGGCGGATCTTTTTTGGTGAATGAAGAAGGTGGACACAAAAGTCGAACAGGCGGTTTAAGTGTCTCTCTTTCTGGTCCAGAAGGTCATGTTATTGGCGGTGGAATCGGAATGCTTATCGCAGCCAGCCTCGTTCAGGTTCTTGAACTCCTCTTCTTAATGATTTCAAAAGCCAATGGACAATCGTAGCAGAGATGTTTCTTTTCTTTCATCTCTAAAGATTTAGTTCTTGCGATTTCATGTTTCATGTGGTAAGAGTTTGAATGTTTATCAATCTCTTACCCAAATTCTACTCGGTTTTTTGGTGCGGTTCGTTATTCAGTCTTGGTTTGATAGTTCTCTTAACATGAAAACTTGTTGGTTTGTTTTGTTTTGAAGGTGGTGGCTTGTAGTTTTGTATACGGAGGAGTTGCAAAGTCCAATAACAGTAACAAGACCGTAAAACAAGAAAGTGAACCAAAGGAAGAGCACAACAATAGCGAGATGGAGAACACACCGAGTAATGCACCAGAAGAAGCAGCAGCAGCAGCAGCACCGGCGTCTCAGCAGACACCACAGAACTTCTCAGCTCAGGCGATGAGCGGATGGCCCGGTTCAAGCTCTGGATCAGTCTCAGGCTCAGGAAGATCACTTGACTCTAGCAGGAACCTACTCACTGATATTGACTTGACTCGTGGTTAATTCAAAAAAAAAATCAAAACAATATGATTAGTCTTTCTTCCTATTTACTACCACTACATTGTAGCCTTTGAAGCAGCAGCAGCAGCATACAGAATGTGAGTGCTGTAAATATCTTTGTTGTTGTAGATTTCTCTGGGAATGTTAAAACCAGAAACCTGAGAGTATTGAGACAGATCTCTGAGTTCTTTCTAACATTGTTAATGTAACAGAACCCCTCTCTTCAGGTTATTTAAGGAGATTTTTTAACTATTTATTCCATTAAGCTCTCTCTTTGTGGTCATTAAGACCTTGGCTTTTAGTATTTGGGTCATCAAAACATTACTACATTATTGAGATACCATACAAAACACATATAAGTAAGCAATTGAGATTAATTATAAAGTCAAACTTCCACATGTCTTGGGAGGAAGACAACCTAAATACCCTGCAAGAAACACGTACAACACTTCTGAGTTGGAGACAGAACCCAAAGTGTCCTTTAGCTTCCCGCCATCGATGATTGCGTAGCTGTTCTTGCCCTTCATGCCGTACTCAATAGCAGTTGGTTCGAACAATGGATAGTCGTCAACGTCGATTCTATACATGTTGACCTTCCCTATAAAGTGCATGGCCAAGTTGTTCAAGTATTGCTGGTTCTCTCTGCACGTCTCCGTATCTGAGGATTTGAAGCAGGGCGTGGTCGTGTACATAACCAGTACGGGAAGCTCGGATTTGAGCACGAGATAATCCCAGTCATCTGCAGAGATAACGGGAGCTGCACACACGTATAACACAATCCAAAACATTACTATATATATATCATACACTTGTATATCATCATTTTCTGATTTGGTACCTACCATATTCTTTATATTGTGCATTAGCACCGAGCATGCCGTCAGAGCACATCCCCACCAAGTAGATTACAATTAACACCAAACTGTACATTTCCATTTTCTTCATATCCTCTCTCTCTCTCTCTCTCTTAAATGTGTATATGTAGCTGTGCTGTGTACAAATGAAGCCATCTCCTAGTTTTCTTTTTTTATAAGCATTCTTAAAGTTGCACGATCTCTCCTCGGTATCTTCGTTAGCTGTCACTTATTGAAGAAAAAATTAAACACGAGTTCCACGAAAAGATTATTCAAGTAAAGTATTAATGACAGCTAATCTAATTAATTAATTAACACCAACTTTTGTCTCGCCATGTGCAAGATTAAACTTGTCTTAAAAAACATAGTATAAGTTTATAATTTGAGAATCCAAACATGTAATATATAGTGTTATAATTTTATATAAATAATAATAATATATGTTTGGGTATCTCAACTTGAGAATTTTAGTATTTCATTTACATTAAAACAATAATAACATTATTTTACACTATCTTGAGAACCTATTAAGATACTCTCGATGAAAATTTATAATATCTTGAGAACCTATTAAGATACTCTCGATGAAAATGTACAATTGAATCGACAAAGTTATATGTTAGAAGTCAAATATATAACTTTGACTTCACTCACAAAAACTCAAATAAATTCACATGCAAGTACTATATATAAAATATTTCCTTAAGTTTTAATAGATTTAACGGATGCGAATCTGATTTTACAATACAAAAGCACATACAAGTAGTCAAGTACTATATATATAAAATATTTTCTAAAGTTTTACAGTGCTAATTAGAGAGTCATGGTGTGGTGTCTTAAGCATCAAGATGCATATGCATAGGTCGTTGTAATTAAATTATCTTAAAAATACTACTATATATATGGAGGTACTCTGAAATGTTTAAGACATCATTCACAAAAACTCATAAAAATCACATACAAATACTATATATAAAATATATATTTTTAAAAGATTTCATACATTTAACGAATGCGAATCTGTTTTCTGAATTGGATCTCAGTATCGATATCATGAAACATCTAATAATATTCAAGGAAACAAACTACATTTGAAATTGAAAATGAGAACACTCTTTCTTAAAAAAAATAAAAAAAATGACCCGGCTTGATTGTAATAACATACAAACGCAAACGCAAATGTAAACAAAAGATTGGATTCTGTTAAAAACAAACAAGTACAAATTCTTGGAGATCTTATGGAGTAAACTATCCACAGTAATATCAAAAGCATCTCGAAACCTCTCAAACTTAGCATTAAAATCTCCATAGACCAAACCAGGCAAAAGCTCATGAACAATGTAACTCCTCATATCCTCTCTTTCCCGTAGAGTCTTTGACATCAACAACTTATCAATCACATTCACTCTCTTTGCCTTCACATGCTCTTGGTTTATATACACCGAATATCTCCGGTGATCCTCAGGTAAATGCCACCTGTACTGATAATACGCTGTGTGCGGATCAAAGATCACCGGAATACAACCCGATACGAGGGAATCGAAAACCGACTTCCTCGTTGGACTGTCTCCAGGTGGTTGAAGACAAAACTCCGAATCTTGGAAAAGCTCGATAACCGACCGGTTTATCACATCCTCCATCGGTACAGTTCAAGAACCGGCAATGGTTTGGAGACGATATGCATTGGTCAATCAGTATTGACCGGATGCTATCAGGGTTTCCGGGTCTTGCTGCACCGGCGAAGCTGATTAGGCTCCGGCGAGGTTTTACGATGATCTTGTTTTGCCAGCTGGAAATATCATCGTCGTTTTTCGGGTGGAAGAACGTCGGATGAGGTATGGCGACGTCGTTGACATCCCATGGATTACGCTCGATGAGAAGCTTTGTAGGGTTTCTCATTTCTTGCATCTCAAGTAAACTTGATCCCCAAGAAGACTTACCGTTCCTCCTAAAATCCCAAGAGATCTTGCCAAGAACGAACACGTGATCTTTCCCGGAGTTTCTCCTCCAGGATTTCTTGGAACCGAGCCAATCAACGACATCGATCGCCAAAGCATCCTTCACATCCTTGGAAACGTTCTTGAAATGCCATCTCAAGACATCGATACCACCATAGTAAGGCACAAAGAAAAGCTTCGCTTGGCTCTCATCATAAACCCTGCACGGATGCTTCAAAACCCTAGCGTGAAAGATCGGCTCAAGAGAGTATTGATGCGTTCTAAACCAGCCTTTGCCAAGACTCTCAATGGATTCACCAAACGCATCGTTCTTGAAGAAGCTGCAAAGATTGACCCATGGAACCATGTCGGAGCATTCTCCCAACAAATCTTTGTTGAACTTAGACGGTAAATCGTAAACGTAAACCCCTTTTCCTTCGCAAGATCCCGGGTTTTGGCGGTTGTTTCTCATCGATAGCCAAGATCTTTGTATTTGAAGATACTTGTCCACGTCATTTGGTGCGGTCACCTCGCCTTCACCCTTCGAATTGATGTACCGGTATCGTTCTTCCCCGGTTTCTAAATCCCAAGAACCAGGCTGATGAGAACCGGCTGTGAGACAATAGAGATGGTTGAGCTTCGGCGAAGAGATGCATGTATAAAAGACGTTGTAGATGGAGATAATAGTCGAAGTTGACCAAAGACAAACTAAGAAGAACAAGAGATCCGTGACATGTACACGACGGAGAATTCGTGTAACTGACATTTTCTTTGAGACGGAGTCAGTCATTTTCTTGTTTGGTTTTGTTTTTGACTTCTCTTTTGTGTGTGTAGATGTGTAGTCTAGATGTGGTGTTTTAACGAAATAGCTCTTCTATTTATTTGAATATTTTTTACATGGAGATAATTAAATGAGATTCGGTGTAAGACTTGAACAAGTGGTCAAGGATTTGTTTCAAAAGACTTGATATATTTTATGCATATGAGCATATGTACAATATGTTAATTGAATATTAATAATATTGCGTGTTTTAACTATTCATCGAATGTATGTAGATTTAAAAGCAATCTAAGATCCGGAGAAAACTCCTCTTATATATATATGGTGATGAAAATTTCATGTTGACTTTCGATCCGGATAGATATGTATGCACCATAGATCAAGAAGAACACATGGTTTACTTCGCTTTTCAAATCTTGTTGAAATTTAAAAACAATCAACTTTTTTATAAAAAAAAAAAAGAAAATTAAAAACAATCAATGTTATAATTAATGCCTCTTTTGCAACGACATATGTACCAAAATTGGATGTTTGCGGAATCAGAGAGAAACAAAAACCGGTTTTGGTTTGGTTTGCTGGAGTCGGGTTTTTGGTTAGATCATGGACCAGTATAAAGGTTTTATTCCGTTCTTCATCTCATCAAGAAACTTGTGTTTAAGTAAACTTGATTCTCTTATCATATGATGACCTGTTTTTTTTTTGTATTATGCAACTCTGGTGTCTTTATCAACATGAGATAACACTGGTTTATCTAGATAACCGGTTTATTTTATTTGTGAGAGTAACCGGTTCAAGTTTATGAAACAAAAACAGAACAAATTCAAATCATTGGCAGGTTCATAGTCAAATACAGTTTATAAACACATGCGATTCAGCCACAAATCTCCATCATTCAGGAGATATTCAGAAGCTTCTTTATGTCATGCTGCAGAAGTTGAGGCAGAACATTAGCGCAGAGAGAGATTGTTTCTTTTAGAGAAATTGATTATGAGATTGTTTCTTTACCTCGAGTGTAAGAGGAGAAGTGGTTGGATAATAACGCTCTACAGCTTGACCATTCCTGTCAACAAGAAACTTGGCAAAGTTCCATTGAATATCATCGCCGAAGATTCCCCATTTGCCTTTCTTCAAGAACTTATAAAGAGGAGAAGCATTCTCTCCATTTACTTCAATCTAATACACGACGGCAAAGTCTCAATTGTTTTTTTTTTAACACATCAAGACATTAGAGAATTGTAATGATTCGAGAGATCTACCTTGTTGAAAATGGGGAATTCAGATTTGAAGCGAGTGCAGACAAAGTCGGTGATTTGTTCAGCAGTTCCCGGTTCCTCTTCACCAAATTGGTTACATGGAAATGCTAGAATCTCCAGACCTGCAACAGAAAAGAGAAACATCAAGTTGAAAAGAAAAAAGAATAGACTTGAGACATTTTTGTTGAAATCAAACTTTACCTCTGTCTTTGTACTTGTTGTAAAGCTCATTCATTTCTGTGTAGTTTGAGTTTGTCATCCCACTGAGACCATGAGAAAGAGACGATTTCGTATGTATTACCGACAAATCTACAAATGGAAGTAGCTGAGAAGACTTTACCATTTGGAAGCAACATTGACGATTAAAAGGACTTTGTCTTTGTATTGACTGAGTTCTAAGCTGTTTCCACTTGCATCCTGTCCAAGCAGAAGAAGAGAATGTCGCAATTATTCAGATAAAGACACAAACTTTAAAACTCAGAGGCTAACACAAGTTGTCGATCAAAGATCATAGAAAACAATCTATATGAGACCAACACAGAGAAGACAAAGCAAGGATCAATCATCGAACATGGTTTAATTGATTGTCCTTAAAGCAGCATTTACCTAATTTTAGCTAAAACACTAAGCAAGCCTAAACCCCAACATATATTACACAATTCCTTCAGTTAAAACCATATAGACATCTTAGGGTCAAATTAAAAGGAACTACTTGAGAAACAAAACCTAAGCATTCATATAAGCCTCAAGATGCAAGCTTTTTTCACTCTCTTAAATCACTAAATCAAAGGTTCTTTTTTTAACCAAAAAGAACACATCTTTTAAATCAAAGGTTAAGCAATCTTTTCACCTCGATGCTTATCTCGTAAACAGATTCTGGGTCTTTCGTCGCCATTGAAGTAGAAAGTCAGAAACAGCAGAAATAAGAGAAGGGGAGTCGACGAGGAAATAAGTAAGAGAAGCTGAAAGGCATGAGAAATGCGGGAGGTTCTCTGACATAATTCATCTTCTGCGCGTGGCTGATCACGCGCGACTGATGCAAGTGGCGTTTGATGATGATGAGCTTCTCTACATCATGATCGGTAGCTATTGTTTGGGCTTACTGGGCCTTTTTAGTGGGCTAGTTTCAAAATATTTCCTAGCTTCCCTTTATTTTTGGATCAACACTCACTTCATGGTCGGTAGCTATAGTTTGGGCTGGGCCTTTTTAGTGGGCTAATTTCAAAATATTTCCTCGCATCCCTTTATTTTTTTATCAACACTCAAAATATAAAATATAAGCTGAACCAAGAAAATATACAAATATGCTTAAATTTACTTAACATATGTAAAACCGCTATAAATTAATATTTTTGCCAGTCTCAAAAATTAGTTTATTAACCATATAATATATCTATAAATTAATAATTATTATTCTCTCCGTTTCATAATAAGTATTATTTGAAGAAAATGTATCAATGTGTGTTTTGAGTTTAATACATCCAAATATATTACAAATATATTACAGATACATTTTTTCTAAATAACATTTATTATGAAATAGAGAGAGTATAAATTAATAATTTTTTTATAATATTATTAATTTATAAAGATTATATTGTAACTCTACATAGTATTCCTGCAATGTATTAGTTACTATTTTTTTCAAATAAATTATAGAAGCAAACTTAAGACACGTTGTACATATATCATCAGAAGAATCAAAACAAAGTTTTAGATAATTTATTTTTGACTCAATACTATACTAGAAACTAAAAAAATTTCTCTGAAAATGCTATTTTATACTCTATCCTACTAAACTATCTAGTATATACTCACAAGTAACCACCACGATGCATGAGGCATTTTAAAAACATATTTTAATTATTTTGCAAAATCAAAAAGTCACATCATCTTTTGAAATTCTTAATAATATATTCAAATAAAGGAGCTATAGTTGAAATTGGTAATTAGATTTATATAAAACACATTGACAAATAAAAAATTAGATTCATATTAAACAAAAGCTTACAAAGTTTTTGAAATCTTATGGAGTAAACTATCCATAGTAATATCAAAAGCATCTCGAAACCTCTCAAACTTAGCATCAAAATCTCCATAGACCAAACCAGGCAAAAGCTCATGAACAATGTAACTCCTCATATCCTCTCTTTCCCTTAGAGTCTTTGACATCAACTTCTTAATCACATCCACTTTCTTTTCCTTCAAATCTTCTTTGTCTATATACACCGAGTATGTCCGGTGATCCTCCGGTAAATGCCACGTGTATTGGTAATAAGCCGTGTACGGATCAAAGATAACCGGAATACAACCCGATACGAGGGAATCGAAAACCGATTTCCTTGTCGGACTGTCTCCAGGTGGCTGAAGACAGAACTCCGAATCTTGGAAAAGCTCGATAACTGATTCCGGTTTATCACAGCCTCCATCGGTACAGTTCAAGAACCGACATTGGTCTGGTGATGATCGGCATTGGTCAATCAATATAGATCGGATGCTATCAGGGTTTCCCGGTCTTGCTGCACCGGCGAAGCTGATTAGGCTCCGACGAGGTTTCACGATGATCTTATTTTGCCAGCTGGAAATATCATCGTCGGTTTTCGGGTGGAAGAACGTCGGATGAGGTATCGCGACGTCGTTGACCTCCCATGGATTACGCTCGATGAGAAGCTTTGTAGGGTTTTTCATTTCTTGCATCTCAAGTAACCTTGATCCCCAAGAAAACTTATTGTTCCTCCTAAAATCCCAAGAGATCTTGCCAAGAACGAAAACGTGATCTTTCCCAGAGTTTTTCCTCCAAGGTTTCTTCGATCCGAGCCATTTAACAACCTCGATCGCCAAAACATCCTTCACATCCTCAGAGACGTTCTTGAAATGCCATCTCAAAACATCGATACCACCATAAAAAGGCACATAGAAGAGCTTCGCTTGGTTCTCGTCATAAACCCTACATGGATGCTTCAAAACACGAGAGTGAAAGATCGGCTCAAGAGAATACTGATGCGTTTTAAACCAGCCTTTACCAAGATTCTCAATCGATTCACCAAGCGCATTGTTCTTGAAGTAGCTACAAAAATTGGCCCACGGAACCATATCCGAGCATTCTCCCAACAGATCTTTGTTGAATTTAGAAGGTAGATCGTAAACGTAAACACCTTTTCCTTCACAAGATCTTGGCTTATTGCGGTTGTTTCCCATCGAGAGCCAAGATCTTTGTAATTTAAGATACTTGTCCACGGCCTTTAGAGCAGTCTCCTCGTCTTCATTCTTCGAATTGATGTATCGATATCGTTCTTCTCCGGTTTCTGAATCCCAATCAACGAGGAAATCGGTATTGATCTCGTTCCTATGTTTAGAATCATCTTGACCGAGAACCGAATCAAGATTCTCCTCATTGATGGGTTTAGAATCTTGATCAAGAACAGAAACTCTTTCTATGGTGGAAGTTTCGTTCGTTGTGAAGTTGAGGCCTGTTCCGGCCGTAGGTTTGTCTGAAACTCTTTCTCCGACGAAAGTTTCATTCTTTGCGAAACTCTTGTCTCCATCTTTACCAAGAACAAGTACAGAACTCTTCTCTTCTTCACTTCTTATCACATTTTCACTAACCGGTTTAGTGAAATTACTGACCGGTACACGTAAACCAGGCTGAGAACCAGCTGTAAGACAGTAAAGATCGTTGAGCTTCCGCGAAGAGATGCAAATATGAACGACGTTGCCGGAGATAACGGTCGTAGAAGTTGACCAAAGATAAATTAAGAAGAGAAAGAGAATCGTGAGAGGAAAACGATAGAGAAATGATCTAGAGAAGACCGAGCAAAAGCTATTACAGCAAGTACGAGGATCTTTTAGTGGTTTCTCGGGTTTTTCGGTTTCGGTCTTTTTGGATGTTCTTGGTCGTCTCTTTGAGACGGAGACAGGCATTTTCTTCTTTGGTTGATTCTTGAGTCTCTTTTGTGTATAATATAACGTTTCGTAGATGTTTTGTTGAGAGACATGCACGCACGTCTGGCTAATAATTGTAATATATGATTAGTGAGGTTGCACGTCTTGTCTTGGTGTGTAACAAGCTTAATCATATCATGTCTATAATAAGTTAATGATATTTGTAAACGATATAGTTGTAGAACAATAATTTGTGTGTTTGGATCTTATATCAAAATCATTCAAACTGTAAAGTGTTGTAACTTGTAACTTGGATTTTGTATACTCACAATAACTATTGGAGTTCTTTTCAAATAAATCAACAGACAAAATTTTAAAATTATTTAATTTGAATAACACTCAATTTTAATTAAATAATTAAAATTTTAATTTAATAACACCAAATTCTAAAATCTCTTAAGGATAATTTACAAAATTAGTTCCAATAACACCCATTTAAAGATATTAATATTCATTTAGGTCCAACTTTAGAAAGTAAAACTATCCTTTTCTTTGTCGGTTTGTTTGATTTCCCTTTATTTTGTGTGTGTGTGCAGCTATAATAATGTTCCTTGTACTACAAGAAAAGGGGAAAAAGGTCTTTTATAAATAGTCAAACACTAATCAATCTGTCTCAAAGCTTATTCAGATTCCGTTGTATTGTGTGGAGAATTGATTGCTGCGACGACTTAGAAATCCTAATTTCAGGTTTAAGATCTTTGATTTACTCAGTTATGTCTACGAAAGTTTGTCTGCCTCCGGCAAAATCAACCGCTACGGCGTTTTATGATCATTCAGATGATCCGTGGTTCAAAAAGGGTTTCATGGAGTCCGAGACGGAAAAAACATGTGTAAAACCAGTACCTGCTTACTTGAAGCGGAAAGGTTTTCGTCCAGAGGAGTTTGGAGATGATGGTGCGTTCCCTGAGATTCATGTTTTTCAGTTCCCTCTTGGCTTGGGCAAGTATAGATCCAACAAGACGCTGTGTGTTGGTGTTGATGCTCAGGGAAACGTGGTCTTTGACGCCCCTGTGAGGCAGAACGAGAACTCGAATAAGATTGTTTACTCTCAACACAAGGATCTTATTCCCAAGATTCTGCAAGACGGTGAGGGAGTTTTGGAACTGGAGAAGCAGATACAGGACACTGCTGAAGAGACAAAAGCTGCTATTGAGAAGATTGTGAACGTGGGACTGAGAAAGCAACCGAGTGGCTCCAAGTACATTGAGTATAAGCCATCATCATCCCAGCAATCTGAAGCTTTCAAAGAGAGGATGGTGAGGATGGTGGAGATGCCTGTAGATCCACTTGATCCGCCAAAGTTCAAGCACAAGCGAGTTCCAAGAGCTTGTGGCTCTCCGCCTGTTCCAGTCATGCATTCACCACCTAGGCCTGTTACTGTCAAGGACAAACAAGACTGGAATATCCCTCCTTGTATCTCCGGTTGGAAAAACTCTAAAGGGTATACTATCCCTCTTGAAAAACGTCTTGCCTCTGATGGAAGAGGGCTACAAGACGTCCAGGTCAATGATGACTTTGCCAAGTTATCAGAAGCCCTCTATGTAGCTGAGCAGAAAGCTAGGGAGGCTGTTTCATTGCGGTCAAAGGTGCAAAAGGAAATGGCGATGAAGGAGAAGGAAAGAAAAGATCAGGAGTTGAGGGCTCTTGCCCAAAAGGCTCGGTCTGAGAGGACTGAGGCTCTAAGTATGCCAAGTGAGAGTGTTGTTGACCCGAGGGAAACAGAGGAAAGGGAAGAGAGGGAGAAGATCCGGCAAGAGTGTCGTGAGGAAAGAAGAAGAGATAGGGAGACAAGGGGTAAGAAGAGCAAGATCACAAGGGACAGAGAGCGTGATATCAGTGAGAAGGTTGCGCTTGGAATGGCATCTACCCGAGGTCAAGAAGTTATGTATGATCAACGGCTGTTTAACCAGGAGAAAGGAATCAACTCTGGTTTTGCCACTGATGACCAATACAATGTGTATGACAAAAGATTGTTTGCTGGGCAACCTACTCTCTCAACGCTTTACAAGCCAAAGAAGGATATGGATGATGAAATGTATGGGAATGCAGACGAGCAGCTCCATAAGCTCAAGAACACTGAGAGGTTCAAACCCGGCATAGCTTCCAGCAGTGCGGGGAAGAGAGAACAACCTGTTGACTTTACCAAGGAAGCTGAGGAAGATCATTTCGGTCTTGCACAGTGGGCGTGTGATTTGAAGAAAGCTAAGAAATCGTTCGTGTCTGGAGGAACTATGGGAGCAAGTGGTGGTGGAAGCTCTTCAGCGGATGACTATGATGGTTCTGGTCGGACCAAGATCAGTTTCCAACGTGGTATGCCCTGGAAGTAGTGTTTCTATTCGATAGTTTATTGATCTGCTTTATTTATCTATACTATAGTATGTTTGTTGCATTTTTGGATCAGGAAATATCCAAAGACCCATGCTCTTCTCTATTCATGATTATCTTAATATACATTAGACTCAAAAAGCAAAAGAGTTAAAAGCATTCATATTACACTTACTCTGATATGACTGGCCACCACGTCTTGTGCCGCTTTTATGAGAGGTTGAAGTGTCTCAGCCATTACAATACACCATGGTAGATTAAGGTAGATGATGGCATTGGTTGTGGTCATTGGGAAGCTCATAAGCTTCTCTGTGCAATACTTTACACAAGTGTAGACACATAATTTGTCTGCAGAAACTAGAATCTCAAGCTATGCTTGTGACTTTCATTTGGAGCACACTCAAGAATCAAGATCCTGACTCAACTCTACAGAGCCAACAATTATGAGTTACATCGTTTTTCACACGACATGGGACATCTGGAACAAGCACAAACGAGCTCAAGTTCAATCTGGCATAATCAATCGTTATCAACCCTAATGGTGCCACTCATGAGAGATGAAGTCATGGATATCATTAAAAAGGTGAAACAATGCATCGATGACAACAACAGCAGAAACAATTCTTGTTGCACATTTTATCAACCCTAATGGTGCCATTCATGAGAGATGAAGTCATGGATATCATTAAAAGGTGAAACAATGCATCGATGACAACAACAGCAGAAACAATTCTTGTTGCACATTTCGAATCTCCCAAAACATATCACTGTTGTGACAGACAAACGTATCATTCTTTCACAGAAAAAGGTTATTGAAGTTGTTTAGCAACATCAGGATTCTTTCTACCGTCCAAAGTGGTATATATGACCTATCAAAAAACTTCACAACTACTCTACCGAGTAAGCACCATAGAGTATATAAGGATTTTATGAACAGAGTAACAGAATTCTATCAAACTCACTATCAAAGTCAAAGATGCTAAAGGTTCTCACAGCGGATAGACAGGTCAACACGCAGATAGAGGACGTCCTCAATGAAGTATAGTCATGAGTCATCAGCCATCAAATCTGTCCAGGGCAAGGAGAGAAGATCCGTGCATCCCACAGCATCTCCTTTTGATGTCATTGCAGATCCCCTGTGTTTTTCCAAGAAGTCTTCGGTTGGCTTTGCTCTTACACTAAACTCATAATCGATCCTCTCACTCAAAGACACTTCTGTTTCCTATGAACAACCCAAGACAGATCCTTTCTTTGTCCAAGTTGCAGCGAACAGAGATAAAGAGTCTATTACCAGCCACAGTGAAGCCCTGTGAGTATCTACAGCCATCAGGAAACAGTTCCTTACACTCTCTTTGCTTCAAGTCCATGTGGATGATCCTCTGATCATGTGGCTGGTAAAACTCCACAACTTTGACCAGTTTGTACTTGTACCGAGTTCTCTCAAAATATCTGCGATCGGTTTGGTTGGCCGCTAAGATATGTTTGCGGTGTCTTGATGTTGTTTGAAACACAAAAGCTTCCAGAACCAGCTTCGATGCAACTCCCGACTTCAAATATTCAGACACCAACACCTCCTCGAGTTTGTAAGGCTTCATCCAAGAGAAGCGGATGCATGGGGCTAGAGTTGAACCAAAAACCTCTTGGCCTTCTTCTACATCTGGATAGTTCTCCTTGGTCCATGTCACCAGAAAATTGAAGACAAACTCTTCACTGGCCATAGTGAGTTCATCGCTAGAAAAAATAGCTTCAATGGCTAGTAATGGAAGAGCCATCAGACCATGTGCAACGCATGACTCTTCCCAAAAATTGAAGGGTATCTAAATAATAAACTAAAATAAAATAATAGAAAGATAAGAGAGAAAATAAGAAATGATTCTTGTTTAGGAGTTAGAAGATCTGATTCTTAAGGAAATAAAAGAGAGTAGAGTACACATGTCAAGTTTTAAGTGGTTACCTATTAATTAATTATTTTATATCAAATTTAGATACTAGTTTTAAGATTCTCAGTGTTGCACATACTGTCACCTCTTCCTTCGTATGGCTACAAAAAAAAAAACAAAAAACAAAAAGTAAAAACATTAGACTCAAAAAGCAAAGGGTTAATTTGCAATCTAACCATATTTGTGAAAGAATCCAAGAATATAGCTATGCTATTCAAAAAAAATGGAAAGTAACTATGACCCATAGAGAAAATACTAAAAAGTCATTCTGTTTTAAATGAAAACGTATTGATTGTTCGATCATTAGGCTTAAAAAAATAAATAGTATAGTATTTGAAGTTTTAAAAATACATTCAGGTTTAAAAATAAATAGTATAGTACTTAGGATTCCAATTATAGAATCAGACTATACCTTAATATATATTTTCATACGATAAGATTAATATAGTATAGTATATGAGTTAATATAGTAGTGAGTATAGTATAGTAGTGTAATATGTTAAACAAAAGGCCTTTTTGTATATATTGTAGAAGATATAGACAATATAATAGCACCCAATTTGATATGGTTATTTTATGAATTTCAGTCATTTATATGGTTATATCAGCCAATAATATAGAGGTTTACAAAATAAGATCCTTACACCTATTTAAAAATATTAATATTCATTTAAGTCCAACTTAAAAAAATAAAACTATGACATTCTAAATATGAAAAACTACATTAAATAGCTTTATAAACCAAATAAATATTTCACTCTAAAAACTAAATGACAATAATTATTTTTTTCAAGAATAATACCTTTTCTTTTATCAAAATAGTAGAAATAAGCGTATTAAACAATCTGCATGATCTTGCTCTTCTTACCCATCAGCTTATGACTGTCTTTATAATAGACTGATCATTATCTCCAAACCTTTAACATATGTCTTTATAATGGACTGATAATTATCTCCAAACCTTTAACATCCACTTTATTAGTCGGTAAAACTCTGAATCATGCATATTCAAGTCATCATAAGTCAGAACATGCATATAAATTATTTATGTGCAAACTCAGCACATATTAAGTTGACCATGAAATCCAAAAAACATAACAGTAGTTTACTACAAGGAAACTGCTAAGGTATGTTTGCGGGGTTTTCTATTTTCCTTTTACGTAACTTTAAAAAATTGATTAAATGTTCTTAATAAAAAAAAAAAAAGTGCTTCCAATTCCTTTTTTTTTTCTTTTGTTTGCTATTTATAATGTTGTGCCTTCAACTTAAAAAAGTTTTTAGATCCACCCATGTGAGGCTTTATCTAAGAGAAACGGATGCATGGGCTAAGGATGAACCGAAAATCTTTTGAAGTTCTTCTAGATCTAAGTAGTTCTTCTCGGTCCATGCCACCAGAAAATTGTAGACAAATTCTTCATTAGCCATGATGAGTTCATCCCTCGAGAATATGTAAAGGAAGAGCCATCACCTCTTTGAATGACTACAAAAGTGCAGTAAGGGAAGAGTCATCACCTCTTCGAATGACTACAAAAGTGCAAAAAAGGTAAAAACATTAGACTCAATGGCTGATATTCTCAATATCATATCACACTTACTCTGATATGACTTTGTAGTGACTGGTCATCACGTCTTGTGCAGTTTTTATCAGAGGTTGAAGTGTCTCTTCCATTAGAATACACCAAGGTAGATGAAGGTAGATGAAGGTAGATGAGGGCATTGGTGGTAGTCATTGGAAAGCTCAAAAGTATGTTCTTGCAATGCCTTACACAAGAGGAGACACAAAACTTGTCTGCAGCCTCTAGCATCCAGATCAACGAAACAACCAGCCATGGAGACACAAAATATCCAGATCAACTAAACAACCAGCCATTGAGTCTAACTTCTTCTATAAATCTCTCTTCCAATAACCCTCTAAAATTCAAATGCTTTTGCTTAATATGTCTTGAATTTACAATTTATTAATTAACATTAATTAGCAAAAAAATACATTTAAAAATCTAAAAACCCAATTTTTATGGAACAAAGAAATCATTTTTTTAGGATCAGATGAAGTAATGAAAAGGAAACATAGATCCAATTGGAGTATTTTTTTTTTGACAACAAAACAGGCATTTCATATAACTTGTAGAGGTTCTAATAGGCTCGCCTCATAGGCTAGCCAAACCAAGACCTCATAGTTTACATGATTAAAAACAGAATCACTAGCTCGAGCTCCTTTTGCAAAGGCATCAGTTTGGCAATTAATAGAACGAGGTATAAAGGATATATAGGGAGAAATTCATAAAGCTGTCCCTTAACAATCCTTTATGACCTCTCCATAAACGATTCCATCTGTGTTCTCACTCTCTATACGTAATTAAAATAGGAAACCGAAAAACCGCCTTAAGTCTTTGTATGATTTTTCTCTAATCTCAACAAAATTCGTAAAAATCTATAAGACAGTGAAATACAAAACAAACGATCCGTATATGTTATCGCTTGTGATACCGACGTAAATGATAGTCCAATAAACTCATTCAAGGATGATGAATGAAGAAACAGACCTTGGACCATTTATTTTTTCTCAGCATCTTCCAAAACTAAAATACTGTTTCCAAAGTCGCGTTTTTTTTTTAATCTATTAACTAATGAAGTTATAATTCAATTTTTTGTTTATTTTACTTAAAATTAATGAATACACTCAGATAACAGGATTTAATTACTTGGCTTTCTTAATCTCGTTTTTGGAAAAGCAAAACTTTCAATATTTCAAATGCCCCTACATATAAAAGATTCTATAATGATAATCTCCTTACAACAACATAACACTTTCGACATAATTAAAGAAAGGCACCATTACAGAAACCAGTTTATCCTCACAATCATAATAAACGTTTGTAGCCTTCCTAAGAGTGTTCTTCTTCCGATCATAATAGACAACACGAGTCTTACCAGTTATCTTTTTGCAATCGTAAGGTACAAAAACAATCTCACCCGTATGAATAGTGCCTACGATGCGTAATGCGTCATCATCTTCAAGTAAATGCATCCAAGGACGAATAGAGAAACGCATCTTCGACCATTTCTGTAATTTCTCAGCATCTTCCATAACCCATAAATCAAATGTATAGAGTGAAGATTCAAAGGCCAAGGTTACTTTCCCTCGGTAAATAATTAAAGATGGAGAATGCTCCGGACGAAAAGATTGTACACTAGTCGTCTCGTTTAATCCAGAGAGAAGATCAAAATTTTCGGTCCTGACACCAAATCTGACTAAGCACCATTCCATCATATCCGTACCTGAGAGAGCGCCATAATACACAACTCCACTGATGCACACACCATTAGTTTTCGGACGATGAAGAATGTTACATTCTATCATTTTCCATGATTGTTCAAGACGTTATCCTCCTCTCAGAGTGAAAACTTGATGTTCAGAAGACGGTACATCCGAGTAATCATTCAATCTTTCTGACATGCACAAGACTTTGTATTGGCAATCGATTGGATCGTATCCGAAATAGCTTTGAATGATCTTTTTTCTTGATTTCACTTTCGGTAAGTAAATGGACTTACCCGTGCTAGGGTTAGCTAGGATTTGTTCTTGACCATATCCGAAGCATATCAAACCATTGACATAGTGAACATCACAGCAACGTCGATTTGGGATTATGCATTGAGTACGAGAGAGAGTAGAGAGAGCTGGTTTCTTCTCTTTCAAGAGAGTTGATGACGTAGTAGAAGAGCCAGTTATGGTGTCCGCTTTGAGTACTTATTAAAGTTTTAGACTTCATGCAAATAACTCTTCGTCTTCGCAAACAACTCTTGCTTTTATGATGAATGGTTATTAACTCTTATTTTTAACGATTCCAAGGCTCTGCATGTAGAGACCTTTAATTTTTCACAATAGTATATTTTAATTGAATATCAAATTTATTCAAACCAAAAAAAGCCGATTTAAAATAACATGAAGCTGTGTTTCCGAAATTTAAAATCATATAATATTAACTAACCAGAAAATAGTAAGGACATTTAGTGTTTCATCATGGGCACACACAAAAATTTTAGATGACCCTTTTAAGATAATATAATATCCGTTGCAGAGTAACCTTAGCGAAAAGACTCGGAAACAACATACACATTCATATATAATATGCAATGTGTTTCCTTACAACAACCTAACACTCTCTACGTAATTACAAAAAGGAACCATAACAGAAAACAACCGCCTAAAATCTTTGTCTGAGTTGTCTCTAATCTTAACAATCTTTGTAGGAATATTTTTTGTGTGATCGTAATAGACAACAGAAAAATGTAGAGGATGGCACGATACAAAAACAATCTCATCCGTATGAGAGATATGGCCTCTGATACGTAACTGATGCCCCGGCAAATTTATCCCACGATGAAGAACAGAGAAACATACCTTGGACCATTTATGTTTCTCAGCATCTTCCAAAACCCACAATTCAAATTTCATTCGTTCAATTTCAGTGGCTACAGTTACTTTCCCTTTGTAACTTATCAAATATGGAGGTTGATAGCGTGGCAGAGATGGAGGACCATGATCACCCAAAAATTGTACCAGCTGTTCAAACTTTTCAGACCTCACATCGAATCTCGCCAAGCAGTATTTAGCATCAACGCCAGTACCCATGTAAGCGCCATAGTACACAACCCCTTTAATGCACACACCGTTTGTTGTGGGACGATGAAGAGTGTTACACTCAATCATCTTCCATGATTTATCAGATCCTCCCAATGTGAATACTTGATGTTCAAAAGATGGAGAAATAAACGAATGATATATTTTTTTAGACATGCACAGCACTTTATACTGACCTTCTACTGGATCGTACCCGAAAAAGCTCAAGATAACCTTTTTTCTTGATTTCACTTTGGGTAAGGTTATGGACTTACCTGTGCTAGGGTTACATATGATTTGTTCTCGACCGCATCCAAGACTTATCAAGCCATGAACATAATGAGGAAGCACATCGATGTAATGCCCCTGGCTCCACGGGCTCATGATATTTGAGCATGTCGTAAGAGATAAATAAGAGACTGGTTCTGATGTTGAGGAAGACGAGAAGAAGTTCCAAATCTGGCGTAAGGTTTGGTTATCTAAATTTTCGAATGCCAAGAGTAGAGGAGGCCGAAGAAGAACCGAGCGTTGAAGCGGGAACGACCTGATGAAATCTCGACTGCGGATGGTTTTCGCCCATAACTTGGATACAAGGAGAAACCTAGCTACGGATTTCACAGGCAATCTCCTCAAGATCTCGATTACCAGATCCTGAGGAACAAAATCACCATCAATATATTTCCTTGCCTCCGACGTTACTCGAGGCTCCTTCTCGATCTTTCTTCTTTTGTTGTGATGCCTAGTACTTTTCATGATGTTTCTTGCTTTTGGAAGCATAAACCCTAATCGCTAAATGTGTATCCTCCTCCTTTTGCCTTGTATCGTAGGCATATCTAATATATTTTCTTCTTTTTATAAATAAAAAAATAAAGGAAAATAATGTGAATAGGGCATCAGTCCAAAATGGATATTTTCTTCTTTTTATACATAGAAAAAAAGGAAAGTAATATGAATAGAGCATGAGTCAAAATCAAATTGGGTTTCTTCTTTTATTTTCCTCTTTTATACATGCATGCACACCAACACTTGGCGTGAGAGAGATGATAGAGAGTTCTGTTCTCCTCCTGATCTACGTAGAAGAACCACTCGTAGTGTCCGTTTTCTTCATCTATGGCATTGACAACGAAGATCATACGTGGCGAAAATCGAAGGGAACGGGAACGATCTGATGAAATCTTGGCTGCTGATGATACTTCACCATAACTTGGGACACAAGGATAAACCGAGACACAACTTTCACAGGCAATCTCTTCAATCACTAGACCCGTAGGAAGCGAGTCTGCTGAAATGTGTGAATCATTCACAATCTTTTTTCTTTTGGCTTCGACGTCGTCTTCTCGTCACCATCACCTTTCTTCTTTCTCAAATCATAAGCCCTAATTTACTCTCTCCGTCTCTTCCTTGTGTATATATTTAGGATTAGAGGAAGGTATGGTTCAACTTTGGGCCAAGGCACATAATTTAGTTAATGGGCTGAAAGCCCGGGTTAAAACTGATCTTAACCGGGTCGGGTGTAGATATACCGCAGTTACCAACAGACTAGTTTCGAACGAAAGTTGAACAAAGAAATCGATTTTTCTATAAGATAACTCGACACACAAAGCAAACTAAACCAAAACCGAACCGAAACTAACTTTATCCTTGAAAATCCGGTTTTCCAAACGAACCTAATTACGACAATCACGTGAATTTCTTATTATACAAAAAAAAACACAAATCATGTGGGAAACTATGATACGGTTTATTGGTTCATCAAATTAATCGGTTTTTCACGGTTAAGTTCGGTTCTCTATGCCCGGTCCACCTGAACCTCACGTATCTCCTTTAAATGATCAAGCTTGCTAGGCCGCTTGTAGTTCTTCAACAAGAGAGAGCAACACACAACACTAACAGAAGAAGCAGCCATTGCCGCACCTGCGATCCACGGTGGCAACCTGAACCGAGTAGACGGAAAAAGCACTCCGGCAGCGATCGGTATGCCCATGAGGTTATACCCGAGAGCCCAAACGTAGTTGAGTCGGATCCTCGAGAAGGTTTTCCTCGAGAGATCAATGGCTGTGATCACATCTTCTAAGTTGCTCTTCATCAGAACTATATCAGCTGCTTCTATGGCAATGTCGGTTCCTGCACCAATCGCCATTCCTACATCCGCCGCCACCAGAGCCGGCGAGTCGTTGATTCCGTCGCCCACCATTGCCACTACATGACCCGATGCCTGTAGCTCCTTGACTTTCTCTGCTTTCTGCTCCGGTTTAGCTTCTGCGATCACAGAGTCGATACCGACTTCTCTAGCGATGGAATTCGCAGTTCCCCAGTTGTCACCAGTAACCATGATGCTTATGATGTTCATGGATTTTAGAATTGAGATGGCTTCTCGAGCACTCGGTTTTAGAGGATCCGAAACAGCTAGAACTCCGATCAGTTCACTGTTTATAGACACGAGGATCCCGGTTTGGGCCATCTCTTCAGCTTCTGCTAGCAACTCCTCCGCATCGGCTGGGATGTTGACTCTATGATCAGACATAAGGTTCTTGTTTCCAACCATAATCTCTCTTCCCTTAACGGTCGCTCTCACTCCGTTTCCTGTGATAGACACAAAGTCACGTGCTTCAGGCCACGCAGGGTTCTCTTCGTCATCTCTGAATTTCTTTGCGTACTCAACAATGGCCTTTGCTAACGGATGCTCACTGTTTACCTGTCATCATAGTGATATCAGATTTATTATATATGCCTTGAGTTCTGGAATTTTTTTTTTTTTTTGTGTGTGTTCGATCGTTACAAGAGATTACCTCAGTTGCAGCAACAAGTTCATAGAATTCTCCAAGAACCATGTTTTTCAGGAGTTTGGTTTTAACAACCACAGGTTTCCCCATTGTGAGAGTTCCTGTCTTGTCAAATACAATGCAATTTACCTACACATTCATTTAAAACTGTTAGATACAAAAAACCTTAATCATAAACAATATTATAAGTTACAATGCAAGAGCTTAACAAGTTAACGCGCACTAACCTTGTGTGCTCTTTCTAGAGCTTGACCACCTTTTATCAGCACACCTTGGGATGCACCAACCCCAGTACCAACCATAACAGCGGTTGGAGTAGCCAGTCCAAGAGCACATGGACAAGCTATGACCATGACGGAGATTCCGAACTGAAGAGCTAGCTCGAAGCTATCCATTGACGAAGGAATCCAGGATTCAGGGTACCAGTGCAGTTTTCCAGCTAAGAACCAGGCAAGCCAAGTCGAGAACGAGAGGAAAATGACCTGAAACAGGATAATTCATTGAGTTTTAAAAAAATAGCCGTGCCTCAGAGAGACTAACCTCTCTGTTTATCAATATGTCAGAGGATTACTCACCAGAGGAACAAAGAACTTTGAAATCCGATCAGCCAACTTCTGCACCGGAGCTTTGGCCAGCTGTGCGGACTCAACAAGACGAACAATCTGTGCAAGAGCACTCTCTGAACCAACCCTTGTAACCTTAACATGCAGAACTCCGTTCTCGTTCAAAGTGCCTCCTATTACTGTATCACCCTTTCTCTTCGCCACTGGCCTTGCCTCTCCTGTAATCATACTTTCATTCACATGACTTTGTCCCCATAGGACATAACCATCTGAAGCTACTTTAGCACCTGGAACGATTTTGATCACGTCATTCTTCTGTATCAATCGACCATCGATCTCTTCCTCGCCACTCACATTCCCTTCCTCGTCCAAAGTCAACAATACCGCAGTGTCGGGTGCCAAGTTCATAAGCTTTGCGATCGCTTGAGATGTTTTGCCTTTAGCCATAATCTCCAAATACTTTCCTAGTATGATAAACGAAATGAGCATGGCGCTAGTCTCAAAGAAATCAACTCCCTTGAAATCAGGAGAGGTTGCAGCTCTCAACACTGTGTACAAGGAATAGAAATAGGCTGCGTTTGTTCCCAGAGCAATCAAAACATCCATGTTAGCCGATCCTCGGCGCAAAGCCTTGTAAGAGCCAACGTAGAATCTCCAACCAATGATAAACTGGACAGGAGTAGCCAAAACCCACCTAATGATTTCTCCAATGGTGAGCATATTGATGACCTTAAACATCAGCAAATGTTTGATTCCAGGGACATACATGAAGACCATCGCCGTCAAAAACACAGGTACAGTAAAAACCAAACTCCAAAGAAACGACTTATAGTACTGCTTGATCTCCTCTTGCTTCTGAGACTCTCTGCCTGCTCCTCCTTCGGAAAACACTGTTGCCTTGATGTGACCACTGTGACCAAAGACAGTAGACTCAATCACCCGAATGAACTCTCTTGGCCCCGTCACATCGGGTTTGTACAATACAGATACCTTATCACTTCCTCCGTTGATCTCAACGTTTTGAACACCGGGAAGCGCTTCAAGCGATCTTTCAATGATCTCCATTGATTCATCAGCAAACTCACCATCAATCTTCAAATCGATCTTGCTCACGTCCTCGCCTGTACTTATAAGCACGGCCTCGAATCCAGCATTCTCTATCTCTTCAATTAGCTTGTCGTAGCTCAGGAGCCTGGGATCATAATGAACTTCAGCTTCTTCGATTGCTAAGGCAACGTGAGCTCTGTGCACGCCATGAACTGATTGCAGAACGCTTTCGATGGTTGAAGAACACGAGGTACAAGTCATACCGTTTATTCTTATTCGGCAAACTTGCTTAGATTTCTCATTCGCCTCATTTTCAATCAGTGACGCTTCAAATCCAGCGTCTTCAATTGTTTCACGAACTGTCTCCACCTACGAAAAATACAATAATCAGAACCCTATATTCCTAATTTCCACCACAATCTCAAGTAAATCCCACGAGTAGTCAAAGCTATAAACCCTAAATCCCAATCAAGTCTACTCAGAAACAGCTCATAAATGGAGAATCAGAAATTCAATTTCGATCGAAGCTTACATTGACAGAGCTGGGGTAAAACAGGATTTGCGCCCGATTGTTCAGAACGTCGATGACAGCTTCGTGAATCCCCGGGAGACGCTTGATTGCTTTCTCGACGGATCCAGCGCAAGCGGAGCAAGTCATCCCCAATACGCGGAAAACCGCCCTGGAAACCACCTCCTCATCGATCTCTAGCACCGCCGACTCCGACGGTGATCCGCCGCCGCGAGATCTGATTAGGTGTTTCCGCACCACAGGGTATCGTTCACTGAATCTCTCTTTCCGTATGCATGTGAGCGCCAATAGCTTCGTCGCCATGGAGAGAGGTATCACCAGAAAAGTTTCGTCTTCGGTGCGAATCTGGTTCTCGTTTTAAATTTGATTTACTTTTTGGTTTGTGGGAAATGTTGAAGACTTTGAATGGCCAGCTTTTTAAATAGGAACGAAGAGGGAATTAGGTTCCGTATGCGAAATGACAAATTATGTGGGCCTATTATGTAAATATTCAAACTATCGGGTCCTACCGAAAATACTGTATTTTAAGTTGCCGCCATATAATGTAAAATACCTTTTACAGTACTTTGAGGTTCACTAATATAATGGATTGATTAAGACGAAAAAAAAGAATATATATATAATGGATTGATTAATTACGGCGTCATTATGTCGTTATAATTACGACATCTCCCATCTATGCGTTAATATTTACTGTACTTTGTTTTTATCTTTTTCCCATTTTCAAGAAAGAAAATAAAAAAGACAAGAAATTTTCCTTTCAAGTTACATTTAAAAAATAAAATAAAAAATGCGTTGCGTGTAATAAATAAATGTATTATAAAATTGTCAACCAAACTTTGCTAATCCATCCATATCCAGTTTAAAGGTAGAATGGAATCAAATTATACGTGTCTGAGCTTTGATGGCACTCAACCTCGTAAGAAGTCGTACCAAAACTGAAATTGGCGGCTTCAAAGTAGTCAAAGCATTATAAATGGGTCAAACTGAGCTGTGAGGCCCATTTAATACTGTTTACGGCCTTTTTATTAAGATGATCCATAGACATCGTTCGTTATAAATTATAGGGGTGGACGCGGATCGGATATCCGAAATTTTTTAAGTATTTGTGGTTTGCTCTGTTTTTAACAGATATTTAATTTTATGATTTGATTTGCTCCAGAAATATACGGATATCCGGATTTTTGGATATCCAGAAAATTTACAAGTATTTGCGGATATTTACGGATATTTATGAATATTTAGTTTGATTCGTTTAATATACACAAAACTGAAAGTACACCAATTTTTATAAAATAATTAAAAGAAAATATTTTATTTTATAAAAAAATCTATAAAAATTAAACCTACAAGAGAAAAAAATAATATTTTATATTTAAAATAATATTAACTATTTAAAACTTTAATATTAAACTTTACTAAAAACCTTTGTTGATATTTATTAACTAATATCAAATAAAATATTATTTATTAACATATTTTAAATTTAAACATATTATTATTTTTTATGAATGGTTATTTAGTCATTTATTTTATATAATCAAAAGAATTTAGAAACAATTGAAAATTTAAGAAAAAAATCGAGAGTATATTAATAAAAATTTATAATATAATTGATATATACATAATAATATATACTAATATATAATAAATTTATAAAGATACGAATCGGATCGGATATCCGACGTTATCTAAAAACATATTTATGATTTGCTCCGTTTTATACGGATACTATATTTTGCTATTTGTTTTGTTCCGAAGCTTTACAGATATCCGGATTTTTCAAATCGGATCGAAGTAAATATCGGTTCGAAGCAGATATAACGGATATTTTGCCCACCCCTAATGAATTATGCACAACTCAAAACCATGTTGTTTCTTCTTGGTCTCTGCAAACTCTGATTTTATATTGACTTCAAGTTGATTGCTCTTAGACCAAGGAAGAAGAAGATTAGATATAACATAAGATAACACCATAGATCCAACATTATACAGAAGATTTTTCATAAACTCGATGTTCCTCTCTTTCTTTACAAACACTTTAAACACTCAAAAACCCAACAAAACTAATCAAGAACAAAAGCAATACTCAAGAACTCAAACACACTCGTCAAGATCAGAGAGAAAAAAAAAATATATCAAATGTTGTAAACGAGTCGATCGATTTACAGAGTTGGGGTTTCTTGGTTTCCAGTTAGCATTTCATCATTCAACACTCTTCTCTCCTTTTTTTCTCCTTCACTCTCATCACGAGTCAAGCGCAAGCTCAGCCCAAGCCAAAGAAGAGGATCTAAGCTCTGCGGAAATCGACAAACTGATTCTACTCTCTAACGTCTCGCAGAGCTCTTGCACTGAAGGCTTGTTGTTATTGTTGCTGTTGTTGTTCGGGTCTCGGTTCAAGCATTGCCTCGCCACTTCGCATACAGTCTCAAGCTCTTCTTGGTCAAAATGTTTCAGCTCCGGATCCACCAAACTTGCCATTGCCTCCGGCATTTCAAGGAAATCCTTTGCCTGCAAAATGCAACATACATGTAAAAGGGTCAACACTTTTGGAACCAAAAACCACATCCAAGGTTTAATAAAACTAAACAGGTGAAAAATGTCGAGACTTTTCACATCCACAGATCGCAAAATTCCAAACCCATTTTGAAGTTTTCTACAAAATGGGTGAAAAGGTGAAAGCAGCGAGGGACTTTACTCATTTTGAAACCATTTTGGTTAATGGTAACTAAGTTTGAAGCTTTTTCGAAATGAGTGAAACGGTCAAAACAGAGAATGAGTCTACTCAGTGCAAAGTATTTGGAAAATATTTTGTTTTTGCCTTACCCATTCAATTAAGAAACCTCTGTCTTTGCAGAAAGGAGGTCTTCCACTGACTATTTCCAGCAAAAGGACTCCGAATGCATAGATATTACCGGATACATCGAGATATCGGCTCTCCATTGCGTTTGGGAGCACGCATATAGCACCCTGACTACTAATGTTTCTCAAATTCTTTTCTGATCTCGCAAGAATCGTCTTCCAGCATTCGAAATCGACCAGCTGCATCAGAGAAAGCCAAGAAAGAATGTGAACATAATAAGCTTTTAACTTAGCTAATTGTATTGTTTCAGATAACAAGCTGGTCTCACTTTACTTTACCTTGGGAGTAAAATCTTCTGTGAGATAGATTGCGTTTGAGCTCAGCTCAGAGATTGTGAATGGAGGATCAAGTTCCATATGAAGGTACTTGAGACCGCGTGCGATGCCTATGACAATCTTCATCCGTCTTGCCCACGATACTAAAGCCGCTTCCCCGTCTGCATCAAAACATTTGTCATAATATAATGTCATCTAGCCAAAACAGCTCAGTACGATGCAACAAAGCTCTTAGGAAGTTAGATTCTTACAGTGGAGATGCTCGTATAGTGTTCCGTTTGATGCATACTCAAAAACAAGCATTCTTGCAAACGGTGAGGTCTCTTTGCAGTATCCCAGCAATTTTGCCGCGTTCTCGTGGTTCAGTCTAGCCAAGTCTGCAACCTGAAACAGTGTGAAAATGGCTTAGAAATCTCAGAAACATAAGCAGCTTTTTTGACAAAATGTTCTTTGTAACTTGAGAAGAAGCTACCTCTCTCTGGAAATAAAGCTCGAGGTATCCGGTCCAATCTTCTTCTTTGACGCAAAGAGAGATCACCGCAATCTCAGGCCCACTCTTCATCGTTCCTTTATAGATCTGACTATCTGCAGATAAACCAATGATGTTGCTAAAGTCTTCACACGCCACTTCGAGCTCTGCTCTTGTGAATCTCGAAACATCCTTCAGCATTTCAGAATCTGGAGTAGAAAACAAAAACAAATGGCACTTCTTTTGAGTTTAACTGCTCCATGGACTTTGAATTGAAAGTTAGAAAACTTTGAAAAAGATTCTAACCTACGTAGACCGTGAACTTTTCCTTTATGCTTGAAGATTTCTTCCAAGGAATGATGAGAGATGCTCTGTTGTTCCATCGGTGAACTGCTGAGAAAAGTGCAACCAGAACGAGCACAGCAACCATTGAGCCTGTGACTATCTCAAGAGCGAGAAGCCACTTAGGTTTCGATGCACTATGATGCTTAGCCACAAGTTCCGCTATCTGGTGCTTCGGAGGGGCCCTCGGGCTTTCATGAGTTTTCATAAGCTGTGCATTGCCTGGGAAGAAGGACTACACTTAGTAAACCAAAACTCATCGAACGAAATGAGAAATTAATGTCTTACACACCGCATTGGGAAGAAGGTCTATGCTTAAGTTCCTTGTTGTGCATGCAGTTCCCTTGAAAGCTCGTCCTAGTGACCATAAAAAGGAGAAACTCTCAAGCGAAAATGGAAATGTACTAGAGCTCGAAAAGACAGCTCAAGATGACAAGCATACCTTGGAAGGTACTCCAAACATTTCGGAATGTTTCCCACGAAGAAGTTGTATGAAAAGTCAGCTACTTTTAATAGAGAAGACCTGCACAAACCGGCATTGTTTGCACTTGAATTTGACGTATACCTGCAGAATTGAATAAACAAAATCCCATGAAAATTGTCACAGAACTGTTGCATCTCTTGCTTCTTGAGGCTATAAGCTAAACTTACACTTTTGACGTATAGCCCGATGCTCCAGCAGCAATAAGACTTCCTTGAAGCCTGTTCCTGTCAATGTGAAGTTCTCTAAGGTTCTTCAAGTTACTGAGCTCTGGAGGCAGCTTTCCAGTTAAACCATTGGACTGAAGGTTTCTGTAGAAATGTGAAACAAAACTGTTTGTCTCAACAACTCATCTATTTTTATTGTGAACAACAAAAAAAAGTTTAATCTTTATTACAGTATCAAAATGCTGGACAAACTCCCGATCTCTGCCGGGATCGGTCCCATCAGATGATTGTTTCCCAAGTCCAAGATCTTGAGATTCTTCAACTTTCCTATCTCCTTGGGTATGGTCCCTAGTAGAATGTTCCCATGTAGGATTCTGCAGAAGCATTCAATGATCTTAAACTCAATGCATCAAACTACATATTTGTGAGTATGTCGAGAGAGATGAAACCGTACAGTTCCTGCAAGTAGGTTATTTGACCCAATTCTGGCGCAAGAAACCCTTTTATCGATGAAGCCGATATGTTTCTGCAAGATCCAAAGAATAAAAGATCAGGAAGCAAACCTCACACTAAACTACTCATAAACAGCTGATCTTGCAGATATTATACAAGAATAAGTGAATGCAAAGATAAAGATCATAGATTTGTTACATCTTGATGACATGATCTTTAGAAGGAGAGCAGTTAATTCCGGTCCAAGCACAAGGATCTGAATTTGGGTCATTCCAATTAGACATAACTAGCAAAGGGTCCTCATAGATAGCTTCCTTGAATCTTCTAAGTGCTTCAACTGAGAAAGAGAAACAAAAACAGAGAGGAGGCATCCACAAATCTATCAGATGATG